CCTCATCATGACACAAGAGAGGACGGCAGGACTGCAATTTCCCGTGTTCAGTGAATGCAACAGAGGCAAGACACCAGACCAATCAGAGAGTTGCATGGAAATACACGTGTGCTTGTGTCATTCAAGCTCGGCTCTGTGTGTGTGTGGCAATAGTGATTTAGTGTGATAGAGAGAGGGAAAGAGGGAGAAAGAGAGAGTGGGAGAGAGGGAGAGAGGGACCGGTGCTAGCGGGGACCGTGATGTTAGCATCTGGTTAGCTAGCTGCACTAACGGACATAAGGAGCTGTTTCCACAACAAGCTGGAGGAGAGTCCTCTCCTGTCAGACTGAGGGGCTCAGGTGAGCTAAAGGACTTTCTGAGTGTTTAGAACGGTTTTGTCACAAATTATTCAAAAGATCATTTCCACGGCACACCTTCATATGATCATTATAGTTATACAAACAATAAGAGAATAAATGAAAAACAGGTATGAAATAGCCTACTATATGGCAGTAAAACAAGAATACAGTTTAAAAGGGGAGTGATTTGGAAAATATCCACAAAGAAAAAGAAAATCTGTTTACAGTTCTGTTTCATCTGGGTGCTGAGAGAGGTATCCATAGATCTCTTCATGTTGCTCTCAAAGTGCACCAGATTGATGCTTTCAACTTCAATATTTAAAAAAATATCTTCCTGGGGGAGCTTCCCCCGGAACCCCCTAAAAGGAGGTGAGGACCCCCCTAGAGGAGGTGAGGTCTGCCCCCAAATAGCACTTTACCCCTGCTTATATGCCGTGAGTTGATTATGGAGCCTTCATTGTAACAGTAATTCAGATGCAATTAGCCTATATAAAAGGCCTCAAATTGGAAGCATTGTCTGGGCCGTCTTTTTCACTCAATTCTGCAATAGGTAGATCTCGCCTTTCTCCTAGGCCGGGGTCGGTGATCTTGGGCTTAAAAAGGTTGGTGACCACTGCTCTAGACCAACGGTTTTCAAAGTGTGAGGCGTGCCTACCCGGGGGGGGGGGGCAGCCAGCCAGAGAGCTTCAGGGGAGGTGCAGTGTGAGAACAAAATAACGAGATACAGCGAAATCTAGCTAGTTAACTTTATGCGAGCGGCAACATAGATCGATTTTTAGTGAAGTTACCTAAAGTGAGAGAGGAGACAGCGTCTGGAAGAAAACGGACGAAGTATGACCACGATTATTTGAAGCTAGGATTTTCATGGACCGGTCCTGGCCATCTGTGTTCTGGAGAATCACAGAACGGCCGGTCGTCAGCGGGCCGTTGGTGGCCAGCTCGGTTCGCTGACAGCCGGCACCGCCCTTTATTTTAGAGAGAGAGCCGGCGATGTTGTTATTAGCATCTGGTGCTAGCTGCGCTAACGGATATAAGAAGAAGATGATGTTTCTCTAACAAGGGTGGAGGAGAGCTCTCTACTGTCAGACAGAGGCTCAGTGAGGTAAAGGACTCTAAAAAAAGAGAAAGGTAGACAGCGAAAACAGAGCATTTAATGACATTTTCTCTTACTGGACCTCTTTGAAATGCAATTTAATAACCCTGCATTATAGCAACAACAATAATAATTGGGAGGGGGGGGCGCGGCTGTTCTTATGTTCTCTGAGGGGAGGCTCACCTTCCCACACTTTGAAAACCCCTGCTTTAGATTAATGAGAAACTCCAGAGGAGATCTGGGTCCTAATCTTTGTTTTGTTCGCAGTGTTCTGTGGCTATGGAGATGAGGGCTGGATCCAACATGGGACCCGGCTACACACATCAGGGGATCACCAAGTAAGCTCTCATCTAAATCACTTTAAGACATACAATTACATATTCAGCACAGTATTTGATTTAACTTTCTTCTTCTTCAACAGGCGCAGAAAACCCTAAAGCAGCTTCCTCCTGAGACCACTCCCCTCACCTGGCTGTTGTGCAATAGTCTGAACTTTTTCTATTTAGCTCTAGTGATGATATTTAAACATTTTCCATGCTTTATCTATATATATATATGGGTCACCAAAGTTGTTTTGTATAAATAATTGTATGCTGTATTTTAACCCATAGAAAAAAAAAATGTTGTGATTCAGTTGAGGTCGTGGCAGATATTAGTAACTGCTGCTGAAAAGAGGCTGTTTGCACATTTGTGTGTCACGTGGTGTTACTTGGCACATGAGGAGTCGTTGTGAATCTGCCACAATGATTTCACTACCTACTCTTTCTGTGGGGAATTATATAGAGCTTAAAGTAGAGTTTGATTTATTCAATTTCTTTCTTTATGAAACTGATCTTTTCTGCTTTCACTGTAAACTCAGGAATAAAATTCCTTTGATGCCGCAGTTGGTTGTGTACACTAAATTGAGTATATCGTAGATGTGACTACAGCAGCGTTTCTCAAAGTGTGGGGCGCGCCCCACTGGTGGGGCACAGAGATGTGATAGGTGGGACGCGATGAACGGGAGTTTTTCTATTTATTTTTTTTGGACCTCAGGCCGGAATCGAACCTTGTTCCTCGCAAGCGTTAGTGGACTGTTACAGCCGGAGACTCGCAACGGCAGTGGACTTTCACAGCGCCGGATCCGCCGGAGCCTCGCAACGTTGGGTGTTTGCGGCGGCGGTTGCGGCGGCGGTTGCGGTACCGGCGCTGTGAAAGTCCACAACCCACCTATGTCAGAGCCAGCGGCCCACCAAAGGCAGCGGCCCACCGGGAAAAGTCCCGATGGCCAATCCGAGCCTGCTCACACACACACACAACTGAAACCAAAATCATTTACAGCGTTGCAGTCGGGAAGAAAAGCAATGTGGAGCGGCACCTCACCACTTCACAAGGAGTTTAACCGTGACACTTTTCGAAATGTTGCAACTTGCATACATATTTATTCCACTTGACGCACACACACGCATGGCGTAATTTCCACTGGGGACAGGGGGGACATGTCCCCCGCTCTTTTCGAAATCCCGTTTGTGTCCCCAAAATTATTATTTTTTAACGCAAGCCGTCATCGCCACGGAGGAGCACACAGCCTCTGTGAGCGAGCGAGAGAGAGCACACATTTATCTATTTTAATATAGCCTAGGTGTAAAAAATCAAGTAATAAATCATTCCAATGTGTGCTATATAGGACAGTAAAACAAGTTTAAAAGGGGAGTGATTAGTAAAATATGCATTAAAAAGAAAGAATGCTAACTAGGTAAGATAAGAATAAACAAGTTTAAATGATTTGTTATTGGTTTTTATCATATTCTAAAGATGTTTGGATTATTGAAAAGTATACAGCTCCCTTTCAGTGTGTTGAGAGCTGTATCCATAAATTCATTTTTTGCTCAAAGTCCACCAGATTGAGGCATTTCACTAAAACATTAAAAAAAAAAATCTTCCCGGGCGTGCATGCCCCCGGACCCCCCTAGAGGAGGTGAGGTCCACCCCCAAATAAAGCAGGTTAAAATAATTAAATTGTATACATTTTCTTTTAGTAAACATTGAAAACGGGTCCCACAGACCCAAACAGCACACAAAGGTTAAAGGTAAGCTATAATAATGTTCAAATGTGCTAAATATATACAGTGCAAAAAAACTAAAAAAGAGGAGTAAAAGTAGCTCACCACTTGTTTTATTTTTTGAAAGTAGCTCTCATCCTAAAAAAGGTTGGAGACCCCTGTTGTAGAACGATACATTTGACAATTTTAAGCTTGGCCTACCATTTTATTGGAGCGATGAGGAACAGGTGGGGCTTGAAAAGGCCCACCTGTTCAAAGTGGGGAATGACAGAAAAAGTTTGATAACCACGACTACAGTGTGATGCTCCATGCAGGAGCTATGATATATGTGAACACTAGATGGCAGCACAGGTCAGCGGTACATCACACTCTGGATGAAAAGTCAAGGCACATGAGGTCTGCCTGCTATGACGAGACAGCCTTTATACAACACTATCCTGTATTCACATTATGACAAGACATGCAAACATAGCACATTTGTATTTCTAAGGGGAGATGCTGTGCTGCTTTATTACAACACATTAGCAGAACTTAATAAAGAGCGACTGCCCGTTTTTTCTAAAATGAGGCTTGAAAGAGATTTAACATCCCGTTAGGGCAAAGAGAAGCAATATTCTGTCAGATAAACAAAGTCTGCTTTCAATTACTTGGCAGAAATTGCTTTCCTGTGCTCAGGCTTGATTACATATTCATTATGTTAAACAAGACACAATGTATATAAATCTGCATTAAACTAATCTGGTTGGATGCCTTTAGGTTAAGTCAGCTGGGTCCCCGGTATAACAAAAAATAATTTGTATACAGTTTTAACTTTTTCACTTAGACGCGAGGGCAATTGTGGAAAAAAGTAGCAATACTGCACCATAAAAACACTTTTAAAAGACTCATTATGTAACAAACAAGCCTGTGTTATATTCGATTATCCACTTTTTTATCTTTTAGCAACTTTTCATTACTTTTAGGGGAAATTGAATCGTAAAAGATACATCCTATTTTTTAAAGTGCGTCATGTTTTCGTGTGTAAGAATAGTGATCTAAGCCAATTAGTAAAGCAGTGATCTTTAAACTATGACTACGTTTGTCAAATAAACGAGCAAAGTAGAGTAAAAAAGGTGAAGTAGCATACACTGGAATAAGTCAAAGTTAACAAACTATAGAGTAAAATTAAGCACTATTTGTATTTTTTGTTAGTTTTGGGACTATAACTTTAAATTATTGAACCACCATGACTCATGTCAAACCACTGTAAGAGGACTGTGTGAGAAAACTCAACTTGAAAACTGCAGAAAGAGTCCAACATGAAATGTCCAGTTTCACTAGCTCTTATCAGCTGAGCATCAGCGGTGTAATGAGCGTCTGAAGCTCGAGGTACCGTCATCCCAGCTTTGAGTAGACAGTTGAAAACTCATCTAGCACCAGTCTGGCTGGGTTTCAATTGGAAAGCACTGGAGAGTGACTAACATGGAGCCTCTTGGAGAGGGTCAAGAGCCCGGAGCAACCAGTGGCCATTAAATTCACTCCTATGAGATATCGAGTGCTTTGCTTTCTGACCGGGCTCTGTTTGGTGTGCAGCCCCACACTACCATCCCCAGCTGCTCACTGCAAGCCCTCCACTGCCAAGTGGCGCCAGCATTATAAATATGTTATTATGAAACTCCTGTGGAGAGCCTGATCAACATCACCAGTTTCAAAGAGACACTTGAGAAAAATAAATGAAAACTGCACACAAAGGCCTCCAACAAGCATAACCCGAGTCTTAGAGACAACACTGTTCATATGGTAAGAATACATCCTTCTGCATTAAAGCTTCAGACTTATAATAACGAATTATGATTATCAATGGTATTGAAACTGCTAAAGGGAATTCTGATGTTCTACTTGAATACACACAGTCAATTAGACCATCAGATTTAAGAAGAGCAAGCCTAATTGCAATGTTTTTATTGACGCTCTGCTCGAGTGACTCTGATAAAGAGGTCTTAAGCTGCCTTTTAGATGGAATCATTTTCACATCTGTGATGCTGATGAGAACCGTAATGATTCAGAGGCTCAAAATCAGTCAACAATTTCCCCTGCCATAATAATCATCTCCTCATCTGATTCAAACGTTAACATTTGTATTCTCAAAATATGTTATTTACTCACTGGTGGCTTTTTAATATAACTGAAACCTGCTAAAACCATTTTTAGCATATAGACAAAGTTTGACCTTTCAAGTTCATTTGGCAAACACTCAGCAGACACTGAAAAACACATTAACATTCATTTGGAGTCAAGTTTGTGTCCAAATTCAACACTTGCTCCTCTGGGAAATGTGGAAATGTAATGCTCCACTATGCTCATCAGTTAGTTGCTAACTTTGTCTTTCTGCTGTTTGGTGTTGAACAGGAAGTGCACAGAGAGTTATTATAGACAGCAGCTGCATGCTTCAGCTACAGAAATAAGGTGAGAGTGAATCAAACAGGAACGTTGCTGGCCCAAAAATTAAAACTGTGATTTAAAAGACACATTCTCTTTTAGGCTGTCAGACACATTTCAAGCTACACAGTCATTTAATCTATTATAACTATGAAATATTTATTATAACAGCTTAAAGTCGATATTTTGTCTTGGCAAATTTCAACTTGAGCAGCAGGTTCATGACCTTTTCAGCTCACATGATTAACACGCTGTACCGAATGCGTCTGTGAAAAGTGGGCACGAGTTTAAATAGGTGTGATGAAAGTGTAACTCCATCCAGTAGCACTCTAAACTTGGCTGTACGGAGCATTTGAGGTATGATGGCAGCGTCAGTTGCTTCCAAAGCTGTATCATAACACTGAATGGTTGCTGATTTGAAGGGCATGTCGCAGCAAGTACCTACATCACAGCCACAGCTGTCCTTTAAAACCAAAACCCATTACAGCGTTTCCTGCCTTCCTTCAGTGGCCAGGATAACAATTCCCTGACAATGAAAGCCAATTAGTGGGAAACACAAGTAAATACTGCATGAGAGCTGAGCTTTGCAAAGCAGAAGTCAGAGGGGGACCTGAACGCTACGTCTTCATATGTCGAGGCCGCGGCTGCCTGCCAGAGAAATGTGTCGGGCCAGGAAGATATGTGAATGCAGATGAGTGTTGACAGCCATTCAATTGTCATTCAGCCCATCTCCCAGCCTCTCGAGACTCATCTGGCTTTTTTTTTTTCTCCTCCTCGCCGGGCTCCTCTTCACTGCCGGCTCACCTCACGCTCCTATGCCTAATGCATACTAAAACAGTTCACAGTGGAGGCATGAGGCATGAGGCGCCGTTTTAAGCAGTAAAAGCTCCCACGCTCTCTTTCTGCTGGTGCGTCTGTGACGAGCAGATGGGTCAAAGAGTCACAAACCTCGCAGAGACTCCCGGAGGTAAAGTTTGGTTTTTCAGCTGTTTAGAAAGCACATTGGACGAGAAGTGCTCTGACCCTTAAGCGCATGTGGTTAGTGGTTCAGAACACCTCATTCCATCTGCTTCCCTCCTCCTCATGCTTTTCAGAGCGATATGTCACTTAGCTGCTCCACTCAGACTCTTTGAGACTACCTCGCTGATCTGATTTCTTACTTTATACTTTTGATGACTTCCCCCCTCCCCCCCCCCAAAAAAAAAGATGGCTAAAACAGATGTCACTGTCCATATTATTTTCTGATGTTATCATTCAGTTGATGGAGAATCCATTTGTCCTTGTGCTTATTGTTGTGGTTACACATCAGCACTGAGGGACTTGACCTCTAACAAATGTAATTCAAGACATGACTGATTTCTTATTGAAAATATTGGAAGCCGGTGTTGTGTAGGCTCATTTTAGCCAAATTGGGCTGAATA